AGGAGATGGAATAAGAGGTTTATGGTAAGAGATGCAAGGTGAGGAGGGGGGACATGGGGCGGTGAGGAAGTTAGTGGAAAAATCAAACTCTCTGGGAGGGGTGAGCTCCGTTGGGAGTGAGCAGGATTCCTCTGCGTTGGCTGTAGTTGAAGGGGGTTTGGAGTAGGAAGTGGAGATGCAGCTAAAGGTCGTGGAGGTGGGGCTGCACGTGGCTTCGGATGGGGCGGAGGCTGTGATGGAGTAGGTAGTTGCTGAAAAGGGATCCCAGGCACATAGTATGCAGGATTCCAGAGGGGCGGAACTTGATAGGGTCCAGGATTACGTAACGGTAGCTGTGGTTGAGAGACCCTGCCAGGGAACTGAGTTGCACGGCTAGAGGGGCTACAGATATGCTTATGAGGAATTACGGGTTTGGTCAGGTTTGTAGAAGGGCGAAGCGTGGAAGCGCGGGGAGTTTGTACGGGAGAAGGGGTTACGGTGCGAGGCTTGGACAGCAGGTGCTTGAGTCCAAGGAAGCGCTTTGGTGGGGAGACACGAAGTGTCATCAGGTCAGGACATCCAGAGTGAGAAGCTGTGCTATCATTCTCCACCACAGCCTCATGTGGGGGCTGATTAGTTACAATATCTCCTAAATCGGCAGTCGATCTCGTTGGCGTGGCGGAGGTCGGAGATAACATTTGTGGATGCTCATAGAGAGGAGTGTAGGGCTCATGGTCATGAGCGTGAGGTACAGGACCTGGGTCCAACAGACAGCTTTGTGTGGCATTGTGGCACTAGTCAGCGCAAGTACTGGTGTGTGACGATGCAACAGGTTCTGGTGACTTTTTGGTAAGTTGTCTTTGCATTCTTGTACGAGCAGCTTGAAGTTTAAAGGTATGGAATTTTTTGATAGCTGAGAGAAGAGTCCGGGCTGTTAGCAGACGCGCAGCATCTTTTTATCCCGGAATTGCATTATTATCGGGCAGCACATAGATGGTGTCGACTTTCGGAGCCGCTGAGCTATGCACATGGTATCCAGCATGCCACATGTTGTCAAGCTGGCAGTTTTGGTGTGCTCAAGCGGAATTCGATCGGGTGCGTTGAATACTAGTACCTGGTGCCGACATTCGATGCGTTGACAAATCTCTGACGCAATCGTATCAATTAGAATAGACGCTTCTCCTAAGTCTGTAGGATCACAGGTTGCATCAGGATTTAAGAGACATGCAATCGATTGTATGGTTCGCAAGAAAGACAATTTACTTTCCATATTGTGCAGACGGAGTCTGAGATTTTCCAGGTCTTTCAGGACCTGAGATTCTACTGATAGTTGTGAGTGGAGAGTGCTGCCATGTTGCGGAACAAAGATATGTCGGTTGGGACTACTAAACAATCTGTAGTTGTCTGTGTTACAGTTTTTGCCGGCCTCGATAAATGTAGGGGTTGGGAGCTGGGTGTTCTGGCTGCTTTTGCTACAACCTCTTGTCCCCACAAGCTGCGAGCTACCTTGGTTGCACACAATCTAACCACACGCTGAGGCCCGTTCGAGTCCACCACCTTCCCAGCACCTGTGCCTGAATATCGATTACCGTTTTTGAAATCGTTCTATGTCTCCCCAGCAGCAGTTAGAAACTGTGACCACTCTCGGCCGCCTGCTATTTTGGGCCGCAGTCTATCTCGCACCATAGTGCCCACTGGCAAACATTTTAAAAATCTTTCAGATTTCGGCTCCGTTTGTAGACACGGACGTCTTATTGTCCCGTTTGAATGAAGAAAAGGGAACACCGTGCGCCCCCGATAGACCGAAGGATATCCTTGGTCCATGGTGGCCTTTTTTGCTATCATTCCTTGGCCATCCCTAACTACCATCCTACCCCAACTGACCCACCAAACATATTCATGTACCAGGTTAACAAAAAACCCCGGTACAACTTCTCGATGATGGTACTGACACCACCATGGAGTCTCGTGCTTGCTCATAGCTCGTCATATCCCCAATATTTCCGGAACGAACGTTTTAGACGTGCCCGCAAGGCCGCCTCAATCAACTGAAACGTTTTAGACGTGCCCGCAAGGCCGCCTCAACCAACTGAAATGTGCGAGGATTCCTGAGCGCTGGTCATCCCATTGCGCTGTTTGCCTATAATGCCCAATAACCCCTATTCTCCAAGTGCACTACCAAGGTTCCAGTATATTGATGGAGACAAATTTGCCTCACACTTGATATGACATAGGCCGGCCATCTTAAAAACAAAAAATGCTGACTATATGAATTCCTTGTCTCTGTCTGGCCGGACGTCTGCTGCACAAACTGAACTCGGGTACATTTAAACAACTTCAACAAAACTGCTATCACATGGAGAGATTTCCAGGGTGTGGAAAAATGTCATCTAATTTCCAACTGAACCAAAATCACCCATGAGACTACATCTGCCTGGCTCAAACTACGTCGAGCCCTTCGTCTAACCCAGATCCAGCCTCCGCAAACACTCCAGCAACTATTTTCCTCCCACCCTATACAGTCACCTCTTGCTAATTCGAAATTGTTATTGCAACCAAGAACACTTTTTTCATTCAGCGCCAACGGTTTCTGGGACGAGCTCGTTCTTACTCTCAAAACCTCTCGCTCAGGTCTGACTTACCTGAGTTTCTGCTGCAATTGCAATTTGTCCGTTCCACTAGTTCAAATACATCATTTGTGGCATTCGTTTGGTCCCATGCATCCGCACCAACTCCTGATCAAGAATATTCTTTATTCCTGACCTTTCTAAAACAGCGAGGCCGGTATTTCCTCCTATTTCATCGAGAGCCATTTTTGATTCGTATCTGGCCGTTTGTCCCCACTTCGAATTCTCCCATCTCCATTGTTGCTTTTTGTGACCCTGTTGATTTACCCAACCGCCCGAGGCTAGCAATAATCTTTTAGGTTTAGTTCAAGTTTAACCCGTTTGCCCTTCCCAAGCGTCGTTCGTGCGAAATTGATTTCTCTTTTTTGCTCACACGAGGCGTTCAGTATTCGGACAATGAAATTGAATTTTCCAGTGCTGCGACATATCCATGCCGGGGTAAAACAGCCAAATGGTTGAATTAAGAATACCATCCCGAATTTTTGGGCGCAATTTAGGCATCTCAAAGGATCAGTGGTGCTGGAAAGTATTGTAATAGAATTTCCGCATCAGGGTCATAACCCTCAGTGGACAATGAAATTTGATGAGCCGTGAAAATATGTTGGTAGATTAGAGCGGTTTTTGGTGTGAGCTCATAAGCAACAAAATGCAGTATTTGGGAATAAAAAGTTTTACTCCACTAGCAAAGATTCTGCAGCTAAGTGCATTGTGCTGCCAAAGAGCCCCTCGTGTGATATTGTGGAATAATTCTTCGCTGTCTGTTCTAGTTACGGAGTGAGTAATTCAATAAAATGATACGCGCCAGCTCTAGCACTACCTGTGCTGAAGTCGGTTGTCAAATTCCACTCCAGTTCTGCGATGCACTGGTTGTTAATCATGAACTCGGTTACTGTAAGCTGCCCTCCCCTAAAGTTGTCAGTGGACCGAATGAAATGCCTATCCATTGAATGTTAAACGCGTCTCACCTGCCAGTCCTGGTGATATTAAAAGGCATGGGTTTGAAGAACGATCAATCGGTTATCTAACTCCTCTTACTCATTTATATGCGCTGGCTTCCTCCATCTTAAATGTGTGACGCATTTCAGGATCGTGCCTCAATCAGTGTGTTTTCTGCCAGCTGGGAAATAAACCTGTTATTTTTATGGATAATGACAATCAGTTTTCAAAAACGAAACCAAATGCCCACGTTTTTCTGGGAAAGACAAGTTCAAATGCTCCGCTATACGTGGATGCTTTAGACAAAATGAGCCCACTCTCCAAAGACCTGGAAAACACATAATGAACAAAGAGGTTTGGACGAAAGTTGATAGCAAACCAACCTCTCTAAAACACTAACTACTACTATTAATCCCGGGTCCGTGGGTTGCGGAAAAGGTTTTCCAGCTCCCTAATGCAGCATTTTTAGTGGATACGTGGACAAGGGTTAGCAGTCTGAGCATCTGTGGATCGTTTTCCATAAACAAGAGGCCAGCAGAACTGCCTCAGTCACTCTTTGGTCGCTTTATCGCAATTCCTTGAGAGGAATCCCTTCACGCAGAGTGATTATGCGGAAACGGAAGTGGACGAACCTTTGGGCTCCTAGTCACCCTATCCTCGCCGAATTCTGAAGAGAATAACTTGGCGTGGGCCATCAACATTCAAAAGTCCCGCACAATGATCAAGAATATCTCTGAGATTTGCCACAACAATCCTAGAGGAGAGGCACGTAACAGAATTCCCCTTGCCAACAGTTCAGCTGAATTTGTTGGTAGTTGTGGAACATTGAGAGGAATCCCTTCACGCAGAGTGATTATGCGGAAACGGAAGTGGACGAGCCTTTGGGCTCCTAGTCACCCTATCCTCGCCGAATTCTGAAGAGAATAACTTGGCGTGGGCCATCAACATTCAAAAATCCCGCACAATAATCAAGAATATCTCTGAGATTTGCCACAACAATCCTAGGGGAGAGGCACGTAACAGAATTCCCCTTGCCAACAGTTCAGCTGAATTTGTTGGTAGTTGTGGAACATTGTGCTCTCAGAAGCACGCCGATGCAACCGGTCGCGTCTCCGGGCTACTCAATCACCAGAGACCCCCAGGTTACTAACAAAAATTATGCTAGTGTGGGAGACAGTCCTCGCGTGAACGCAGAATCAACGTACGTGAAATTATGATCGCTCATGTTCTTATCGGACGACAAAATCTCAGCGGCGAACTCCACAACCAAATAAATAGTTCTAGGCTCCATGAGACAGATATATGGCAAAGCGCACCAACGCATCGACCACAAGCGTTAACCTAGAGGTTGTAGGCCACTTTAAAAACACACAACCACGGAAAAGGTGAAGCCGCTGGCCCCCAGCTCACACAGTCAAAGGCAGCCTCTCCGTTTATGAACTCCGATAGCCAAAGCCACAAACCCGATAACAGTGTGCTCAAAAATTTCACGTACACCGAATTGGCTACACTGTTTACGGACGACATGAGAGTCCACAAAACACGAAATAAAAACCACTGCGGTCGAAGCAAACCACACCTCATCGAAAAGCTTCTGTTCAAATTCGCGCAGCCTCAGCGGAGACGCCGCTCAGTATGTGCCGTCAATATGTGTACCTCTTGCTGCTGCCATACAACGCACAAGTGACCGGGCGGAGCTTCACACCAAAATTCCCAAGAAACCAAGCGGAGGCATCCTCGCCGAAAAATTCTGTTTCAAGCTCGGTTGTCAAACTAGTATAATTTTTAACGAGAGGGTAAAGCATACTCCAGGGAAAATAACTTAGCGCGAACCGGACTCTCGGGGGTAGGCGGGTTGAAGACGTTACCGTAAACGAAGGGCGGTTCTCCAGAAATCCAAAGATAATAGGGGGCAAGGAGGCCTCAACGCCCATTCGGGACCTTCACTTCAAACCCGTAGTATATGCATTATATATGCTAACCCTTAGCAGAAAACCGCTCGGCTTTCCATCTCCTAGAAGGAGCTCCGGCGAGCGGGGCCGACGCCGTTGTATCTTATGCCTCCTAACACCCGCCACGCGCAACTGTTTCATTCAATTTCATTCACCTCGCCCCTCTTCCTAAGGTTCAATCCTCGACCGCGGTTGCTCAAACGCCCCTTAGAACTGTTATTCATTCAAACTGGCTGGTGTCC